AGAGGCATCCAGGGGACCTCCTTGGGCCTCTTGGAGGCCTTTGGGAGATTCTCGGGGTCCTCTTCGGCCGTCTCCGAGCACTCCTGGTCTGTCTGACGCCGTCTTGGGGGCTTCTGTGGGCCGACTTGAAATCTTCTTGGGGTGCTCCAGGTCCAGGGCCGTCTTGAAAGACATTTTGAGCGTCTTGAAGGCCTCTTGGGCCGTCTTGGGGCCCTCTTGGAGCCGTCTTGGGAGCCTCTTGGGCGTCTCTATGGCCATCCTGGAGGCCTCTTGGGCGATCTTTGGGGGCTCTTGGGCCGTCTCGGGCCGTCGGAAGGCCGAAAAGAAGCAAAGGCCAAAATCCTTCAAACACATAAGCATTGCCCCTTCGGGCCTTCCTGGAGGCCCTCTTGGAAGCCTCTTGGGCCGTCTTGGCTTGGGAGCCTCCTGGAGCGTCTTGGGCCATCTTAGAGCCATCTTGGGCCGTCTTGGTGGGCTCCTGGCCCGTCTGACGCCGTCGGAAACTGTTTTGGGGGCCTCTCTGGGCCGACTAGGGGCCCTCTTGGGGTGCTCCAGGGCCGTCTTGGAGGCCATCTTGGGCGTCTTGGAGGCCTCTTGGGCCGTCTTGGGGCTCTCCTGGGGCGGTCTTGGGGTGCCTCTTGGGAAATTCTGAGGCCATCCTGGAAGCCTCTCGGGCGATCTTTCGGGGCTCTTGAGCCGTCTCGGGCCGTCAGGATGCCGAAAAGAAGCAAATGCCAAAATTCTTATATAACAAAAAATGGGTTTGGCATCTTCGGGCCTTCCTGGAGGCCCTCTTGGAGGCCTCCTTGTCCGTCTTGGAGACCTCTTGGGGGCCTCTTGGGCCGTATTGGGCCATCTTAGAGCCATCTTGGGCCGTCTTGTTGGGCTCCTGGCCCGTCTGACGCCGCCGGAAGCTGTCTTGGGGGCCTCTCTGGGCCGACTAGGGCCATCGTGGGCGTCTTGGAGGCCTCTTCGGCTGTCTTGGGGTCCCCGTGCGGGGCGTCCTGGAGGCCTCTGGGGCCGTCCTGAGGCCAGATTGGAGGCCTCTTGGGCGCTCTGGGGGCGATCTTTGGAGCCTCAGGGGCCATCGTGGGCCGTCGGAAAGCCGAAAATAACCAAATGCCAAACCTGCAACAACCACAGAAAATCAATTACCCCAGTGCGACCCTACCTGGAAGTTGGAGCCCCTAGGAAAGCAGCATTAATTGCTATACTATGCCATGCTATGCTGCGCTATGCTATGTTTTGCTATGCTATGCTGCGCTATGTTACGCTATGCTATGCTATGCTAAGCTATGCTATGTCATGCTGTGCTATGTTATGATATGTTATGCTGTGCTATGATGCGCTATGCTATGCTATGCTATGCGGTGCTATGCTTGGCTTTGTTATGCGATGCGATGTTATGCTAATGCAGCGCTGCGCTATGCTAAGTTAAGCTAAGCTAAGCTAAGCTAACCCTCTAGGCAGAGCCTAGGTAGGGAATGACACCCATGCTAATGCTTTGGTTTGCTTTGCGTTGCTTGTGCTTTGCTTTGCTGTCGCTGTTGTTGCTTTGCCTTTGCTTTGCTGCTGTGCTATGCTCTGCTATGCTATGCTATGCTATGCTGCGCTGTGCTATGCTGTGCAGTGCTGTGCTGCGCTATACTATGCTATGCTATGCTGCGCTATGATATGCTGTGCTGCGCTATGCTATGCTACGCTCTGCTATGCCATGATGTGCTCTGCTATGCTAAAGCTCGGCGAAGCTAAGATGAAGGCAAGCTAAGCTAAGACACACCTGAGCTAAGATGAAGCTAAACTAATCGAAGATGAAATAAGCTAAGCTAAGATGAGATAAGCAACGCTAAGTTAATAGGACGTGACTGGGGGAACCGCGGGACGGATGCCGGGGGAACCGCCAGGGCCGGTTCCCACTGCCCAGCCCCTTTAAGCAAAGACGGTAAGAACCCTTCTAGCCAGAGCCTAGGTAGGGAATGATTTTGGCATCTTCGGGCCCTCCTGAAGAACCTCTTGGACGCATCTTGGGCCGTCTTGGAGGCCTCTCGGGAGCCTCTGGGGCCGTCTTCGACCGTCTTGGAGGCTTCCTTGCTGAACTTGGAGGCATCTTGGATTCTCTTTGGCAGTCTTGGAGGTCATCTTGGGCCATCGCAGCCGTCTTGGAGGCCATCTTGGGACATTTCGGAGCCGTCTGGAGCAGGAAAAACCTTGGCAACCGGGTCTTGCGATTCCTTCCGGGTTCTTCCGGGTGGCCGGCGGGCTGGGCTTGAGCCCCAGGGGAGAGTTCTTTTGGAAACAGTATGAGCGAAAGGATCCAACACGCCAGGCACCCTTTGTGATGAATCAACAGGGGGCGGCGGATCGCAGACGCCTACGGCGAATCACCGCCGCCCCCTGCCTTCTAGAATCGCCCATGTGGCCGAGCGTTGTGGCAAGAGCCCTGCCAAGCTATCGGACCATGAGTTCCCCAAGCCGTTGTGGGAACCCTTCGGAAAACACTTGGGGGAGGATGACGGGGAAGATCAGGAGGAGGCAGAGGAGGAGGTGGAGGAAGAGGAGGAGGAGGAGGAGGAGGAGGAGGAGGAGGAGGAGGAGGAGGAGGAAGGGGAGGAGAAGGGGGCATCTTGGGAGCCTCTGGGGACACTCTTGGGGCCTCCTGGGAGCTTCCCCGGAGCCTCTTGGAGTCATCTTTGGGGGCCTATCTGGGCCGACTGGGGGCCCTCTTGGGGTGCTCCAGGGCCATCTTGGAGACCATCTTGGGCGTCTTGGAGGCCTCGTGGGCCGTCTTGGGCCCTCTTGGGCCCGTCTTGAGGGTCCCTTGGGCCGTTCTGGGGCCATCCTGGTTGCGGGTTCTTGGGCCGTCTCGGGCCGTCGGTAGGCCGAAAAGAAGCAAATGCCCAAATCCTTCAAACACTTGAGAAAAATCAATGATGGTGGACTCTTCGGGCCTTCTTGGAGGCTCTCTTGGAGGCCTCTTGGAGGCCTCTTGGGCCGTATTGGGTCATCTTAGGGCAATCTTCGGCCGTTTGGTGGGCTCCTGGACCGTCTGACGCCGTCAGAAGCTGTCTTGGAGGCCTCTCTGGGCCGACTTGGGGCCCTCTTGGGGTGCTCCAGGGCCGTCTTGGAGGCCATCTTGGGCGTCTTAGAAGAAGCTTCGTGGGCCGTTCTGGGGCCCTCTTGGGCCCGTCTTGGGGGCCTCTTGGGCTGTTCTGGGCCATCTTGGAGGCCTCTTGGGCGATCTTGGGCGATATTTGGTGGCCTCTTGGGCCGTCTCGGGCCGTCGGAAGCCGAAAATATTATTTTCTTACGAAAATCAATGATTCTGGCCTCTTCGGGCCTTCTCGGAGGCTCTCTTGGAGGCCTTTTGGGCCATCTTAGAGCCATCTTGGGCCATCGTGGTGGGCTCCTGGCCCGTCTGACGCCGTCAGAAGCTGTCTTGGGGGCCTCTCTGGGCCGACTTGGGGCCCTCTTGGGGTGCTCCAGGGTCGTCTTGGAGGCCATCTTGGGCGTTGGAGGCATCTTGGGCCATCTTGCCGCCCTCCTGGGCCCGTCTTAGGGACCGCTTGGGCCGTTCTGGGGCCATCTTGGAGGCCTCTAGAGCGATCGTGGGCCGATCTTTAGGGGCTCTTGGGTCGTCTCGGGCGGTCTGAAGGCCGAATAGAAGCAAATGCCAAAGTCCTTCAAACACCTCCGGTCACGTTTTCTTAATTAAAATCCCCGGTGCAAGAAGAACTTATGATTTGGGCCTCTTCGGGCTCTGTTGGGGGGCATTTGGGGCTCTCTTGGGACGCGTTGGCGGCTCTGGGGCCATCTGGAGGCAATGTTGGGCCCTCTTGAGCCTTCTGGGAGGCTTCTTGGACGAACCTGGAGGCGTCTCGGACTCTCTTGAGCCGTCTCGGAGGCCATCTTGGACCATCTCGGCCGAACTTGGAGGCCATGAGCTGTCTTGGAGAGGTTTTCGCGGACTGGTGCTCGTTTGCGCTCGATTGTGCAGCCTTATGGTCCCTTTCGGGTGGCCAGCGGGCTGGGCCGGAGCCCCAGGGGGGAGAGTTCTTTTGGAAAAAGAACTAAACCAAAATCGAAAGGATCCAGCACGCTGGACACCCCTGTGGCAAGCCAACAGGAGGCGGCGGATCTGATGCTCTTCTGCCCATCCCGCCACCGAGCCTGGGCGGTGGGTCATAGGCATTTGAGATGTTCGTTGGTATCTCGCGGGGGGCCTCTCGGCGGCCGCTCTGAGGCATCCTGCCGGCCGTTTTGGGGCCTCTTAGGGCATCCTGGGGGCCCCTTGGGGAGGAAGACTCGGATTTTTGATTCGTGTTCCCCCTCTTGGGTCCGTCCTGGGGCTGTCTTTGGGCCCTCTTGGGCCGTCTTGGGCGCCTCTGAGGTCGTCTTAGACCCCGCTTGGGCCGTTTTGGAGCCTTCGGGGGGGCCTCTTGGGCCGTCTTGGGGCGGTCTTGAGGACCTTTTTGGGTCATTTTGGAGCGTCGGAAGCTCGAAAAGTCGAAGACCCTAGAAACATTCAACATCCACGTGAAAATCAACGGTTTGGGCAGATCAGGGTCCTCTTGGGAAGGCTCTTGGAGAACCCTTGGGACGCCTCGAAGAGTTCTTGGACCGGCTTGGGGCCATCTTAGGCGTCTTGGACCGATCGAGCGACGATTCGGGGCCCTCTTGGACCGTTTGGGCGGCCTCTTGGGCCCCCTTGAGCCGGAGAACGCCATGCAGGAAGACGTGCCAGGGCCCGGGGGGGCACGCGACAAGCCCACGAAGAGTTGAGAGCCAGGGGTCTTGGCCCCGGAAAGAATCTTCACGAGTGAAGGCTGGGGCTCAGGGGTCGAGCAGGGGACCCGGGGACACTCCACGTCGTGCCACGGGGGCACGGTGGCGGATCTCCTCGTCCTCCAAATCCTCCCCCCCCCCCCGCCACCTGCTTCAGCAGGCAAATGTTTGTCTCGCAGTTGCCCTCTCCACGATCTGGAGCAGATGGGAGGTGGGAGGAGAAAAGCCTACGCTTGCAGCGCTTCGGCAAGGCGAAGGCGGGGCTGGCGGGTGAGATCCTCCAGGAGGAGGAGGAGGAGGAGGAGGAGGAGGAGGAGGAGGAGGAGGAGGAGAAAGGGAATCATTATGCGGACGACGACGTCCACCGATATCCCATTGGTTCGGGCGCACGCTGAGGAGGCAAGAGGGCGCTAGCACAGGATACCGATGACAGGAGCATCCAGCAACAAAGCATGAGTTCTACAGTGCGTTGTCGGGGGGGATTACCTGAACTGCGCGAATGAGTATTGAAAGCAAGCGGGAAGCGCGGACACCTCATATGTAGATGTATATATATATATGTAGATCGATAGAGAGAGAGAGAGAGAGAGAGAGCACGGCTCATTATATCCAACCGTCTCCCACTTCTGCATTCGATGTGGAGATCCATAAGTTTGGAATACGGCCAAGTTTGTTAAACGCGGCATCCTGCAGCACTGATGTGTGATAATTACCGTTGCACAACCTGTTTGTGAAGCCGCCGTCTGAGCAAGCGCGCGTACATTAAGAGAGTGGGAGAGAAAGAGAGAGAGAGAGAGCTAGGGGGAGAGAGAGAGAGAGAGACGAAGAGGGCGAAAAGAGGGTCAGAGAGGTAAAAGAGAGAGAGAGAGAGCGAGCGAGATGCATAATACATAGATGCATAGGTGTGTGTGTGTGCACATCTGTATATTTTATATACATATATATATATCCATATAATATATATTTATATATATATATATATATATATGATATGTGATATATACATATACACATATACATACATGTACAACCCCGAAGTGAAAAGCCAGACCAGCACATGGCGGAATTGGACCCCCCTCCTTGGCGCGCGGAACGCGCCAGTGGCAGCGCTGGAGGCACTGCCAGGGGGCTCCAGCTCCGATTCATGAAATCCGCACGGAGCTTCAAAAGTCTACGTTTACGCAATTTGTTGTTACTCTAGGCGCCCCCCCGTCACTGCTGTCCCCCACAGGGGATCAACGCTGCAGATGCGGTGCCGCTCCTGCCGGCCTCCATCACGAATTCCCTGGAGGAGCGCCGCCGCCCGTCTCGCCTGCCCTCCCTGGGCAAGGGGATCGCCTGAGCACCGGGCGCGCGAGACCCAGGCGACGAGACCCATCCGCGAAGCTGGGAGGGGGAGGAGGGGGGGAGGGGGAGGAAGAGGAGGAGGGGGATACTGTCGGAACACACAGCCTTGAGGGTGGTTGGCCCCTGTGTGTGAAAATTACCGTGTCGATCGCTGCTCTTCGGTGATGCTTGTTGCCCCTGATTGAGGGGGGCAGAAATAGCGGCCACCACTCGAGAGAGACTTGCGCGAAAGTGGGGACTCTTTCTGGGTGGACGGTGTCCCGTTCAGCGCAGTTCGAGTCTTCAGCAAGAAGTTGGAATGATGGGAACGAGCATACATGCAATCAGGTGGCGGGGAGGGGTGCGGTGATGGGAAATGCGGCGATAAGAGAGCGAAGGGAAGATGCGTGTTTGCATCGATTACACGTCGGCGGCGGAACCCCGGAGGAGGTTGGAGAGGCGGCAAGCAGCGAAGGCGAGCGACGCGCGGTATGCGCGCAGCGACAAAATTTGCCGCGACAGGAGAGATCACATGTCACGGAGATGGCGAGGAACCATCAGCGCGACGGGGGCAGGTAGGGCAGGCAGCGCGGTGAAAGGAGCAGGTGGGAACGACTATGGGAGAGAGGAGGGGGGAGAGAGAGACAGAGAGAGAGAGAGAGTGGCGGGAACCAGGGTGGCGAGAGAAGAAGGGACAAAGGTAGCAGGAACGGGCGATGTAGGCAACCGGCATGGGGTGAGGGACGCTGTAGAGAGACAGGGTGAAGCAGAGAAACAGGAGAAGGAGGAAAGAATGGAGGAAGTGAGAAAGATAGAGAGAGTGGGAGAGAAAGAAAGAGAGGACAACAAGACAACTGGCCAAGGAAGACAAGATGCAGTTAGGAGCGGCGCAAGCGAGATGGACAAGATGGAGGGTGGGCGGAATTTGTTGCTGGTAAGTTGATGCAGCGCGAAGGAGCCATAATTTGAAAAGGAATTTCATCAGGCCCAGCCAGGCATTGAAAGAGCGTTTCATCTGACACGGCCAGGCACCGATTGGGAATTTCACGCGGGGAGAGGGAGCAACAAGCTTCATGTAAATAACGGATCGACGTCAAATCTTGGGGTCACCATGGTGCGCCTCGAAGGGAGCGACATCCGAATCGGCCCCAACCGCATAAGAGGAAACCGTTTATTAGACCAAAGTTCCAATGATCATTCAAGAAATGGATTCGCTGATGAGGGCAGTCTATCAGCCACGCGGCCAGGACACGATAGCCTGCAGCACCAGAGGCGTTGAGGAGAGCTGGTGTATGAGAGCGGCGTTTATGTCATGAAGATCCAAATGTAGAATTGAATGATGATGCACGATGAAGGATTGTCAAGCAATCGGTGTGCAGAAATATGTAAGACAAAAGTGAATACTCGAAGGCAAAGTGGGCGAGTGGTCGGACAACAGGAGTGAGCGCGGCAGTGGGATCCGTGGATTCTCAAGACGAGCTGACGCAGGTGGGTACCGAGAGGTGAACGATTAGTTCGTCGGCGGTACCGCCGGGTGAGGGCTGGTAGGCCTGAGCTCATCAGAATGGCTAACAGGGATAGCGGATGAGCCGGGAGGGGACAAGGGCACCAGGGTAGAAAGGTGGCCAAGAAAGATTGGGTAATAGCGATGGCGGCAGGATGAAGGATGGATCGTTGGTGTCGCACCAGTTCCCTGGCCTTTGGGCTTGTGAGGGCTCACGTCGAGAGTGCAAGAGTCGCCGCGATAGCTTGCACCACATATTGGGGAGCTGCGTGGCGGCATCCCCATTCTACACGCAGGCGCGCTGAGGTGGTGCACATATCCGATTCCAATTCTAGTTGTGGGGATGCCCAGAAGCACGTTCCGAACGTCACGGAAACGATGCGGGGCAGTGCTGCTACATGAGAGTGGCTCTCTTTGTGTGGCAATACACAGGGAAGTTAAAGTATGATGGGTTTTCGAACAAACGATACGCATACATCAATTTCAATGGGCGCTCTTGAACCGGATTCGATCATGAGGGCAGTCCACATGTTTGGAATTTGGCAAAGAAATCACAAGTCGAATGTAGCAACCGAGTGGAAAGACGTCCAATGATAAAATAGTTTTGGCCGAGGGGGCCAGAAACATCATAATTAAACCACATAACAATCATTGTGCGGGGTACGTAGCGGGATGAGTTGGAAGGCACAGGAACACCGTGGTAGCAACGTGGCAGAAGAGGACGGTACATCTAAAGAGGGGAAGACGAATCATGGGATTGCGACGATTCTAGCGAAATCTACATGAGTCCATGGATGGCGTGGCAGACCCAAGCCAAACCCTGTCAGAACACCAGTTCGCTGGGCAGCTCACCGCTGCACCCCTAAAGTTTTCTGGGGATTTGGGCCTGACGTGCCCTCTCAGGGTTACCGCGGATGGCATGGCAACCCCAAGCCGAATCTGGCCAATGCTTCCAGGGATGTGGGCCTGACGTGTCCACTCCGAGAGACCATGGATAGCCTGGCAGACCCAAACCAAACCCAGCCAGAACACCGGGTAGCTGGGCAGCTAACCGGTGCACCTCTGAGGCTCCCGGTGATTTAGGGCTGACGCGCCTTCTCAGAGAGACCGACCAGGGGTCGTGCGAACACAGCGACCCCAATGATCTGCCATAGGGACGCGGTGAGAGCACGAAGAGTGGATTAAAGCAAAGCTACGACACAAATGGAAAGGCCCATCCGAAAATCGGAATGGATCCCTGGGCCAGATCAAGATTAGCCCCAAAAGACCGACACGCTGGAGCCCTCGCAGATTGGCTGCACGCCGGTTGTCGGCCACGCTGCCGGGACAGGAGGATTTTCCAGCCCATAGGCTGTCCAGCGGACGTGTCCGAAATTCGGGGGACACATCCTGCCCCCCCAGCCAGACTTGGAGTCACCAAGGGCGGTCCCCGGAGAACTCTCGGCGGGGAGGCCATCTGCCCTGGACTCGGAGGATGCGACTCACAAACTTGCGTATCATCAAAGATGCGCGGGCCCTGGGGAGGTAGGCAGTACTAACGGATCAGAGTCCACAGTCATGGACTCTTGAGGTGAGCGTGAGGGACCATAAGGGGGGAAACAGGATGGAGAGAGCGAGAGAGCGAGGGAGACGGCAGCAAGGGGAGAAAGCGAAGGGATTGTCAGCAAGGAGACGAAACGGCAGAACGATGGATCTTTCAAGCGTAGGACAATTGCTCAAGAACGATGGGCGTGCAGTATCGCCGTGATGATGAAGACGCACGGCACACGTCTGCAGCCGTGGACCCTAGAGGGAAATTACTGGGAGACCGCGGAGGCACAACGAGACGGCGAGAGCGAGATAGAGCGAAAGAAAGAGAGAAAGAGAGAGAGAGAGAGAAAATAGCAAAAAGAGGGAGAGGGAAGCAAGAGGAGGAAAAAGGGGGTGGCAGCAAGACGACGCAACGGCAGAACGATAGAATGCTTTCCGCAGTTTCTTACAAACGTAGGGACGAGAGGCTCAAAAGCGTAAAGCGCCCGCAAGGTGTGCTAACAGTTGGGATACCATGTCGTCTGCATTGCCGATCTTATCGGCCACGCGGCCGGGACAGCGGGAAATGAGGTTGGCAGGATGTCCCCCCCATTCCAGGGGGGCAACATGATAGAAAACCACGCGTGTAGATTGTGTGAATGGACACATGTAGGTGTATGATGGTCTATGGACGCACCGAATAAGTGTGCGCAACTCCTGACCCGATCCAACCGGGCCAGACTGGATTCATGTGCAGGAGTGGCTGTGGGGACTGTGGAACGTTTGGGGAGGTTTCGTGGTCACAGGGTAGCAAGAGAACGGGACAGGAGCAGGTTGAATGGGACGTGTGGACAGCAGGTAGAGGAGGACGGCGCGCTGCTGTGAGACGGCGGGAGGGCCGAGCAGGGCAGAGAGCCTGACATCAAGCAGGCGGGGGAAACCAGGCTTAGTCGCAGACTGGCCAGCTTTGGGCCCATGATGGGTGGCCGGATGAGCAACGAGGAGGTGGGACAATGCGGGAGCCAAATGACAAAGAGGACGGGGAAGCCGCGGAGGAGCGCGTCTCGAAAGGGAAGAAAGAGCGACGTGACAAGAGAGACCAACGGCCCACTGAGAAGCGAGGGCTCCAGGTCCAAAGATGCGTGGGGTGGGGACCGAAAGTTCCAATGTCGTGCCCCAGTAGAGAGGAGGAGTAGCGGTCGGTGCCGCCGGAGATGGGCAGGGAAGCTTCCCGAGGCTTGGCCTGCCCAACAGTTGGTGGGGGTAGCCGGATGAGCTGGTAGAGAGCATGAAAAGCGGTGTAACAAGATGGTCGAGGAGGACGGGGCAGCAGCGGCGGAGGTAGGATGCAAGAAGGATTGTTGGTGTCGCACCAGCTCCCTAACCGCCGGGGTGCATGTGAGGGTGCTCATCAAGAGTGCACACGCGCATTCCCTCACCAGCGCCCCGTGCGTCCTTCACAAGAGTCAAGCCCCATAGGCTGCGGGAAGCCCTTGTCACGGGGAGGAGAAAAAGGAGGAGGAGGAGGAGGAGGAGGAGGAGGAGGAGGAGGAGGAAAGGGAACGGGAGGGCCCAAGGTACGAGCGCAGGAGGAATGGGAGGGGAGGGGCCAAAAGTGCCAGCGCAGGGAGAGGAGAGTGGGAGGTGGAGAGAGGGGAGGTGGGATGGGGAGGGCTGGTGGCTGAGGAGGAATGGGGGGGATACTATGCAAGAAGAAGTGGCGGGGGGAGGGAAGGAATAATCATAGGAGGAGGAGGAGGAGGAGGAGGAGGAGGAGGAGGACGAGGAGGAGGAGGAGGAGGAGGAGACGACGAGGCAGGGGCAGGAACAGGAGCGTGCGAGGAGCCGTGGCGGGCACCACCGCGGAGGCTGAGCCCAGGGAGAGTCGGAGGAGGAGGGCGTCGCAGCCCCCATTCCTTAGTGGGCCCTGGAAACGACAGAGTTCTTTTAGTTGCCGCTTCCGTTTTGCCGTTTTTGTTGCCAGTTCTGGCGCCGTTTTTCTTTAGTTCCGTCGCCGTTTTTGTTGCCGGATCTGGTTCCGATTCCAAATCCGGAACCGTTGTTTTGTCTATTTCGGGTACCGCTTTTCATTCTCAAGAGACATTTTTCGGAAACAGTGAAAATACGGCCCTGCCGTTCCTGTGGCCTACTAAGCCCCATACCCCCGAGGTCTCGCCGATCAGGGACTCTAGAAGTGAAGCTTCGCGCCCACATCGGCCACAGGAAGCGCCGTCTGGAGGCCTTGGTTCGCTGTCCCCCTCTGCGTCCGAGTGGAGCGATTTTCTCGCCCCGCCGCCCTTGGGCCCACGTGGCACACAAAGTTCCGCGAAGGCAAAGCCGCGTTTCGCACCCCGCGGCCTTGGCAGGCGGACTCTGTTGTCCTCTCTTTCCTCCTCGTCCTCCTCCTGCTCCTTCTCCTCCTCCTCCTCCTCCTCCTCCTCCTCCTCCTCCTCTTTCTCCTCCTCCTTTTCGTCCTTCTCCTCCTCCTCCTCCTCATCGTCCTCCCCCTTCGCTTGCACCCATACTGCTGAAAGTGCAATGTGCATATGGGGACCTCCGACTTGCAGAAAGCAGTGTGGGCGGTTCGTGGCTGTGGGCCTCAACTCGATCGATACAGTCGTGCACTCCTGCAGAGCTGGCTGGACCTGCATCTGATCTTGCAAAGGTTCCGGGGGGGGGGGGGGGGCAGGACCCCCTTTGGCAAAACAACCTTTGGTGAAAACGACGTGGGACCAGACCTGGCGAGCGCAGGCCCGCAAAAGTTGCGACCGCAGCGCCTCCTCGAGATCAGAAAACGGGCAACTCGCTTCTCGACCTGGCAGGACGGAGGTCCTATCAGCCTCCGAAATGTTGCCGCCGCTCTAGCCCGACCGATGGACCCCGCCTGGGACGCAGCGGCATCACCGCTCAGACGGCGCCCCTCTGCACGCCAGGTCTTGCCACTCTCTCTCTCTCTCTCTATCTCTCTCTCCCTCTCTCTCTCTCTCTATTTCTGTTTTTGTTTTATCTCTCGACCCACGGCGTCGCGCCCGCCCTGCGAGGAGCACGGGATGGCCATAGTGACCCTCGCGGAGAAGGAGATCCTCGACAGAGACCTCAAGGCGGGGGCGGCCTCGGGGACGCGAGGTCGAAGCCTCACCCATCGGTCACGTACAAGTACATCATCTCTCCTCTCCCTCCCGAACATCTGTTGAGAGTGGCCGCGCCCCCTCCGCGTAGTGTTTTTCGTTTCATGTTTTGCACATCCGAGCTCTTCGTCCGTGGTGTCTCTATTCGATCAATCCGCATCTTGTTTTTTACCCACGGGATTTGCGGAAGCTGGCTTACCAGATGGTTCTGTATTATCCGATTGATTTCATCTTTCCCAAGATGGTGCTCTCGCTGCAGCGTGGGTTTCATTTCCGGATCGGCACTGAGCTCCCGTTGTTCAGAAAATGGCGATCCCGCCCCAGCGTGAGCTTCTTTTCTGGACCCCACATGTTTCCCAGGTCGTCGCAGGCACCAGAGGTCCCGCAGAAACCACATGCGTCGAATGTCGCCCCACAGGTCCCACGGGTCTGACAGGTTCCACAGGCCATACAAGTCACACAGGTGTCGCAGGTCCCGTATGCCGCCCACATCCAACAGGTCCCGCAGGTCCCTGAGGTGTCGCCTGCATCGCAGGTCCCACAGAAGCCCCCCAGGTCCTGCAGAACCCGCATGTCCCGCTGGCGCCACGGGTCCCACAAGTCTCGGTTCGGTTCCACAGGTCCCACAGGTGTCGCAGGTCTCACAGGTCCCACAGGCCACAAAGGTCCCCCAGGTCGCACAGGTCCCACAAGTTTCATTTTCTTTCCGACTTCGCAGAACACAGTGGGATCTTTCGTGGAATTCTAGGTCAGCTATGCCATGCGTCCGCGGATGAAGACTTACCCGAAACATACCCAAGCCCCTCTGTACATGAGCTGACTATTGATGTGAATGCTTCAAACAACAGAACACATTGCGAAGTATGCTACGCTCGGGAAGGCGATACAATGTCGGGAATCGCGCGTCGCACACCTGCGCGCCCTTCGCCCGTTGCAAGTATCGCTGGCGGCGCCGCTAAAGTAGCTGCCAGTGCGCGCGCTCGCTCAGACCCCGCTTGCCGTTCTCCCCCGATTCGGTCGCGCAGAAACTTGGCAAGGCCGAGCGTGCGCGCCATCTTCATAGACTGCGTCCTGCAATGATCCGGGCGGCCTCTGAACTTCTGGAGCCGCGCGGAGAGGTCGGCCGGCGGCGCCGAGGACAGGAGCCCACGAAGTCGGCGACATTTGCGCACTTTGCAGCCACCCAGGGAGCAGCGAGGTCCCAGCTAGATCTGCAAGGTTCCTGGCCCCGCTGGGCCTCCCAGGAGCCCACGAAAGTGGCCACACTTCGCATCCACCCAAGGAGCAGTGAGGTCCCGTTTCGGTGCGCTTGGCCCCCGACTCCGCTGGCTCCCCCAGGGGCCCACGAAAAGAATAACAATTCTGCAGCGCGCAGCCACCCAGGGAGCAGCGAGGTCCCGCCTGGGCGCGCGTGCCTTCCGACTCCGTTGGACCTTCCTGGAGCCCACGGCAGTCGTGACAGTTGCGCCGTTCGCAGCCACCCGTGGAGCAGCGACGCCCCGCTCGGGTGCGCGTGGCCCCGAGACTCCGCTGGACCTCCCAGGAGCCTGCGAAAGTGGTGGCAGTTGCGCAGTTCGCAGCCACCCAGGGAGCAGCGAGGTCCCGTCTGGGTGCGCGTGGCCCCCTGACTCCACCCCGCTGGACCTCCCAGAAGCCTACGAAAGTGGTGACACTTCCGCAGCCCGCAGAACAGGCGCGGAGCAGCGACGCCCCGTTCAGGCGCGCATGGGTCTTTGACTTCTGTTGGACCTCCCAGAAGCCCACGACGGCAGTGACAGTTCCGCAGCCCGCAGCCGTCCAGGGAGCAGCAAGGTCCCGTCTGGGTGCGCGTGGCCCCCGATTCCGCTGGACCTCCCTGGAGCCAACGAAAATAACGACATTTGCGCATTTCGACCCCGGGAGCCGCGAGGTCCCGTCTGGGTGCGCGCGGCCCCCGATTCCGTTGGGCCTCGCAGGAACCCACGACAGCGGTGACAGCTGCGCATTCCGCAGCCACCCAGGGAGCAGCGATGTCCAGTTTGGGTGCGCGCGCCCCCCCCCAAACCGCTGGACTTCCCAGGAGCCCACGACAACGGTGACAGTTGCGCAGCTCGCAGCCACCCATGGAACAGCAGAGTCCCGATGGGCGCGCGTGCCTTCCGACTCCGTTGGACCTCCCTGCAGCCCACGACAGTCGTGACAGTTGCGCCGTTCGCAGCCACCCAGGGAGCAGCGAGGTCCCGTCTGGGTACGCGTGGCCCCCGACCTCCGCTGGACTTCCCAGGAGCCCACGAAAGTGGTGACGGCCGCGCAGTTCGCAGCCTCCGAAGCAACAGCGCTGGAGGAGGAGGGAAGAGGACAGGAGGAGGAGGAGGAGGAGGAGGAGGAGGAGGAGGACAAGGAGGAGAAGGAGGAGAAGGAGGAGGAGGGGAGTGGAGACCACAGTTTTGTAGTCAAAACATGAACCCAACATATGAGGGCTGGGAAACATAACAATCAGCGCAATCTGAAGGGATAGGAGGGTGGGATAGGATGTCAGAGATTGCACGAACGCACCTAGCTTGTCCCCCTCTCTCTCCCCCTGCTATCCCCCATTACTTTCACGTTTCGTTGCCCTCATTTTACCATGCTTGCTCCTGCAGTTCATCCGATCACGAATAGGCGTTGCGCAGAAGCCAAGATCTTAGCGTTAGGGCCGCCAGAAAGTTGGAGCGACAGGGCGTCGGTGTGGAAGCATATCATGTACTGAGTGCGTTCGACCTGGTCGCATAGCGGAGCTAATCCCTGCGGTATATGTTGCTAGCATGCCCTCACGTTGGCCGATTATAGGTAGCGTGGCTGTGGATTGCCTCAACACGTGCGTATTGACCGCGGTTGGCCAGCAGTTGGTTTAGGATGTATCCCCCGTTACGTCACATTTGGCGCACGTTTGTTTCATAATGGATCCACGATACATACACGATTCATACATGCAACGCCGATGCACCCATGATCCACACAGCATCTACACGTTGCTCACGCTTCATACATCCAGCTGCTTCGAGCAAGTCCCGCCACCGTGCCAGCCCAGCGTGCGGGTTGGCAACGACTCCAGGGGGGCACGGGAGGCCGTCACGTGAGACACCGCTGGTTTCTTGAAGGCTTTCGGGACCTGTTGGGTGCCTTTGGGGAGCCTATTGGGGGCATCGTGGAGCCTCTTGGCAGCATCTTGGGGGCCCTTCGGAGGCTCTTGGGGTTCCTTGGGCAGTCTGACAGCGGTCTTGGGCAGTTTGGGCGTTTTCGGAATCCGTCTTAGGAGGGCTTCTGATCGTTTGGGGACCCTCTTGGGGACCTTGAGGGCCGTCTGAAGGCCTCCTTGGGCCGACTTGGGGTCCTATTGGGCAGCTCTTCGGCCATCTCGGAACCCTGACGTGCCGTCTTGGGGCCCTTTGGGACGTTCCCAGGCCATTTTAGACCACCAGGAAATCATTGAGTTTGGCCTCTTCGAGCGCTCCTGAAGATTATCTTGGAGCCCTCTTGGGCCGTCTTGAGGGCTTCTTGGGCAGTCCTGAAGCGAAGCCATCTTGGGCCGTCGTTGGGTCATTTCGGGCCGTCATGGAGACATCTTGCACCATCTTAGCAGACTTGGTAGCTTGCCTGTGCTGCAGCGGAAGTCATATTTGGAATTGTGTTCGCTTTCGGAGGGGGGCGGCCTTAGAAGATTACGCGAACCTTGCCAAGCAGCACTTGGCATGCTTCCACGCCGCAACGTGACAGGGGGAACAGGGGCAGAGAATCGCTTCACAATCAGTTGACAGTTGACTTGCATTCGATACACAACTGATCCTGAGTTAATTCACACATAATTCACACAACCTGTACAATTGAGTCACAAGCGGACGCTGGCAGTTCACTCGCATCAATTCGAAATCAACCCACCATTGATCCGCATGCTGTTCACACTTGACGCGCAATTGAATCCGAATTCAGCCACACGTGATTCGCACTCCAATAGAGCTTGGCCAACAGTTGCTCCTAATGGGCCTACAGGTGATGCACGAGACCACGCGTGGTGGCCCCACAGGACCCCGACACCACGACACCCCGGCACCCGACACAATGACACACCGACGCCGCGACAATGCGATGCCACGACGCCACGGCACAACAGCATTGCGACCCGATTGCACGGCAGCACAGCACCCGCGGCGCCACACCACGACACCGTTGCACCAAGCGCCGCGCGCAACCGCCAGCTGGAGGGAAGGCGGGGATCAGGGGCAACGTTTAGGAGGGCTAGACTCAGGGGGGCTCGATGCTTCCCACCAGCCAGTCCCTTCCTGCCGTTGCCCCTCAGAGGAGTCCAAGTCCTCAACGAGGCCTCTCACACACCAGCAACGCAGTGCGCTGCGCACGCGCGACCTGAGCGCGAGATCGGAGATTCGTTGGTTCCCCTGTCTTCGGGGGGGGGGACGCGCAGACCCTTCAGCCTGCAGACCACGCAGTTCGGGCTGCGCACCGGATCTCGTAGGCGGCGACCACCCGAAGCAGGCAGCAGATAATCTAAAGTAGCAGTGCAAGCCGACAAGAAGAGGTCCGCAGTTAACGGGGTCATGAGATTCAGTTGTGTGAAGCTTTCTTGGGGCCTTCCTGGGCCTCGAAACCGACCAAAGCAATTCAGTTTGAACATCCAATGTCAGTAGAAGCCATGGGGTCCAGGACTCGTTTCCCTCAGGACCGTAGTCCATGATACCAGATAATTGTGTTCCCGTCGGACCACGCGCGCAGCTGAAGAAGTGTGGCAATCGTATCGAGGGGCGCTCAAAGGAAAGGCCTGGGGAACAGGACGCAACCAAGACCAGAGCCTCCTCGCTGGCCCGCAAGAGCAAGGGCGATGCGGAAGAGGATCATGACAAGGCGCCCGTGGGGGGTGGCAGGACCCAGGGCTGCGTGCAGACACGGAGAGTGCAAAGGCGGCGCGTTGGTGGCGGCCGAGAGCAGTGGGTGACGAAAGTGTGCATCTCTGTCTCTATTCTCCGCAGTCAGCGAGCATGGCAAGGATGAGTACGGTCAGGAATTGTTGACGCTTCTCGTATCCCCACCAGCCCATCCAGCAAAGATGCCCAAGGGAGCTCATGCAGAAGAACACAAGGTGGGGGAAGCCGTCCGAGAACCCAAGAGGGGGAGGATGGTGGAGGAGAAGGAGGAGGAGGACGAGAAGGAGGAGGAGGGCGAAGAGGAGGAAGGAGAAAGAGACAGTGGACAAGGAAGAAGAGGAGGAGGAGGAGGAGGAGGAGGAGGGGCATCTTGGCGAGCCCAAGGCCGTCTTTGAGCGTCTTGGGTGCCGCGGGCATCCTCTTGAGGCCTCTTGGGGGCCTCTTGCTTGGAGGCATCTTGGGCGCCTCGTGGGGCCGTCTGGGCGCCTCTTGGGGCCATCTCGAGACGCTCTGAGGAGCCTTAGGAGCGCTCTTGGGGCCATCTTGGAGGAGATCGATCAAAAGAAGAGGGGGTCCCTAATTCGCCCCCCCCCTTGGGAGTCCCAAAAGTCGCCTCTTGGGGCGCTCTTGGAGCGCTCTTGGGCGCTGTTGGGGCCGTCTTGGGGCTCTGTCGGGTCTCTCCTGGGGCCCTCTTGGGCCATCTTGGAGCCATGTTGAGGCCTCGGATGGCCATCGGAAGGAAAAGGCGAGAAAGCAAAAAGCAGTGGTTTCCTATAGGTTTGGGAAGGATTTGGGCTTCGCGGAGGCCTCCTGGGAGGTCTCGGAGGCTTCTTGGAGCCGTCTTGGAGCGTTCTTGCAGCTTCTTGGAGCACCTTGGAAGCTGACTTGAGGCATCTTGGGCTATATTTAGCCATCTTGGAGGTCATCTTGGGCTCTCTGAGGCCCTCTTGGAGCCATCTTGGGCGAAAAAAACACTCTCTGTGACACGTCGCGGGGCGCCCTGTCCAGGTCCAGGGGGGGCAGCGGGGAGGGGTAAACCCCTTCCCGAAGGGGAACAAGGGGGGTTGGAAGAGGAGCCTCCCTAGACCACCTACGCCCAGAAGGCTTGTGGGATTGTTGCTCAGGGTGTCGCGGCAGCGGCCCCGGCGAGACACGCTATGCCCTGCGAGTGGATAGCGTGTCGCTCCGTTCCGCGGGGCGGGAGGTCGGGACAGGCTCAGGACATTGACGCTTGGGGGCTAGGGCATGGATAGCGTGTCGCGCCGAGGCGTGGTGGGCCAGAGCCGGCGGCGCGACATGCTAGGCCAAAGCTCTTACCGTAGCATTCGCTCACAAGGGTACCCTTGCGTCTTTGCCTCTTCGGTCCATCCTTAGCCAATCCTTAGCTCAAAAAAACTTGGGGTTGGCCGCCCAAGGGGCTTACATCCTTATCACGCATCCTCATCATACGCACTAGCTGCATTATGTCATCTTTCTTTTCTGCTCTCTACTAAGCACTCCCGCCATTACTTTCTAGTTCTACCCTCCACTCCCTGATCTCAGATCCGGTGTTTTGCACATGGGTTTGTGCTCCGTAATCTCGCTACTCCTTGGAACGAAACGCGTATCTACTCTACTCGCTCTCTCTCTCTCTGTATCGTTCTCTCTCTCTATATATCGTTTTTTTTATATACCTATCTTTCTCTATCTCTATGTCTCTCTCTCTCTCTCTCTCTCTCCCATGTCTCTCTCTCTCTCTATTCTTCTATTATCTATATATCTACCTGTGCTCTCTACTACATGATACAAGAGAAAACCCAATCGTTGTTTTGTAGGGGCAATGGGGCTATATGGGCTATATGGCTATAGGGGTATATTGATATAGGGCTATTGGGCTATAGAGGCTATAGAACCTTAGGGCTATAGGGCTATAGAGCTCTAGGGCTATAGGGCTATCGGGCTCTAGAGCCATAGAGCTCTAGGGCTCTAGGGCTATAGGGCCATAGTGCTATACGGCTCTAGGGCTATAGGGTTATACGGCTATAGGGCTACTGGGCTATTGGGCTATTGGGCTATTGGGCACCCCCGGGCCCCCCCCGGCACCCGGGCACCCGGGCCCGGCCACCGAAATCGGCCACGCACTTCACCGGCCACCCAGGCACCGCCAGGCACCCGGGCACCCGGGCACCCGGGCCTGGCCACCGAAATCGGCGACAAACCTCACCTAACCCTTTAATCCGCTAGGACCCCTACAGAGGCAAGCTCTGATTGGGGAATAGTATCCACTCTCTCTCTCTCTCTCTATCGCTCTCTCTCTCTCTCTACTCACGACTCTCTCTCTCTCCCTCTCTCTCTCTCTATACTCCCTACTACTCTCCTACGACACATTATATACTCCCTGCTGCTTCGTGCCCTGTACTGTCTGGCCTGTCTCTGCTCTCGAGGCCCTCAGGGCCAGGCCACAAGAACCCGGGAACCGGGAACATGGTCCATGGCCGTCTGCCGAGATCGGCGGCGACCTTTCACCAGACCTTTCAACTTCCAATGCTGCCTCTTTCAGTGCAGACGCCACTTGGGGAATCGGGACGGACATGTTGGCGCAGATACTTGGAACGGGAAGAGATACCGATGCCGCTGCCCTTCCCTCGTCGCGACGGCTGGACTCGCCTCGGAATCATGATCAGAACGCACCCGTCGAGCAGGGAGTGGCGTCATCGGTATCTGTTTGTCCCCCCCAGGCTCATCCGCCTGCACTGGTCTTTCCTTTTCTAGCCAAGTCTACTCTGGCCTGTCCTGGTCTGGTTTGATATGGTCTTGTCTGCTTCTGGTCATGGGCGGCCTGGTCTGGACTGGTATGCTCGGGCCTTTTGCGACCTGGTCCGGTCGGATGGAGGAGTCAGGTCGAGCAGTAGCAGGATGCACGTCAGAAAGGACAGTTGGGCCTCTTGGTGCCCTCCTGGGTATTGGTTGAGGGCCTCCAGCGGGCCTTTCCCAGGGACCTCCGAGGCTGCCTTAGGGGGGCTGGTAGGCGCCTATCGGTCCGTCTCAGGGTCTCGTTTGAACCTTCTCAGGGGACTCGGAGGCTGGCTTCGCAGGCCATCCGGGGGTGTCTTGGGTGCGGGAACAGCCGAACCAAGCAGGTTCCAGGCAGCCAGACGCAGAGTGAAACACGAACCAGGTCGGATTGCAGTCACCGCGCAGCCCGCGACATTTCGACGCGTGATTCAGTTTGTTGTCTCCTGCCTCTCAAAGACGTGTCCAGGATGCAGACTTGGCGCCAAAGATGTGATTGCAGTGAGGGGTGATCTGTTGGAGCCTATGAATTGCTGCGGTGTGCCACTAGAAAATGGAGCTCTGCCCATGCATAGTGAGAGCTGGTTCAAAGCGGTGAACGTAATGGTCTGTTCAAATATGGGCATTGTAGTGGGAAAACAGCTGAATCCCAGTAATCATCCTCATTGTCTTCCTCCCTCCTCCTCCTCCTCCTCCTCCTCCTCCTCCTCTTCCTCCTCCTCCTCCTTCTGTCTTATCTCCCCCCTCCTCCTTATCCTCCTCGTTGTTTCTGATCGTGCGGGGCTGGAGTACGCAAATCAGCTCGCACACGCGATTGTTGCCACTGCATGTTTTTGGTCCCCTTCCGCTTGTTCGAAAGGCATTGGTTTGCTTCGGTCTGGCAGTCTTCCATCTCACGTTCCGGCGCAACCCTATTATAGCGACAGGCAGCGACTGCTGGTGTGGAGGTGGCCGGCTGGGATAATACAAAAAGAACAATTAGCTTGGCGAAGCACCCAACCATACGCAGGTGTGAACAAGCCAGTTGTGAGCATCGTCCTCGGTGGAGCTCCATATGGGGCCGCGAAGCGTGTGAAGGGTGTGCCAATTTTGGCGGGGCGAAGACGCATGCGAACACCGCCACTGAGCCCTTCGGTGGAGCTCCCCATGGGGCCGCGAAACGTGTGAGGGGTGAACCGAAAATGGGTCGGGCGGACGCATGCGAACACCGCCATTGGAGGAGCCTTTGGTGGAGCGTCATATGGGGCCACGAAGCGTGTGAGGGGTGTGCCGGCATGGGTGCGGCGCGCGCATGTGAACGCAGCCATTGTGGCCTTCGGTGGAGCTCCTTGTGAAGCCGCGGAATGTGTGAGGGGTGTGCCGAAATGGGTGCGGCGGGTGCATACGGACGCGGCCACTGGGGCCTTCGGTGGAGCTCCCCATGGGGCCACGAAACGTGTGAGGGGTGTGCCGAAATGCGTGCGGCGGGCGCATGCGAACGCAGCCGCTGTGGCCTTCGGTGGATCTCCGTATGGGGACACGAAATGTGTGAGGGGTGTGCCGAGATAGGTGCGGCGGGCGCATGCGAACACAGCCATTACGGCCTTCGGTGGAGCTCCCCATGGGGCCACGGAGCGTGTGAGTCTTGTGCCGAAAATGGATAGGGCGTGCGCATGCGAACACAGCCATTACGGCCTTTCTGTGAAGTTCCATATGGGGTCACGAAATATGTGGGGGAGTGGGGGGGAGGGGGGGGCGAACTGGGTGCGGCGGGCGAATGCGAACGCAGCCACTGGGGCCTTCTGTGGAGCTCCCCATGGGGCCACGGAGGGTGTGAGGGGTGTGCAGACATGGGCGCGGCGGGCGCATGCGAACGCAGCCACTGGGGCCTTCGGTGGAGCACCCCATGGGGCCACAGAACGTGTGAGGGGTGTGACGATTTGGGCGGGGCGGAGACGCATGCGAACACCGTCATTGAGCCCTTCTGAGGAGCTCCATATGGGGCCACGAAGCGTGTGAGGGGTGTGCCGGCATGGGTGCGGCGCGCGCATGTGAACGCAGCCATTGTGGCCTTCGGTGGAGCTCCTTGTGAAGCCGCGGAACGTGTGAGGGGTGTGCCGAATTGGGTGCGGCGGGCGCATGCGAACGCAGCCATTGTGGCCTTCGGTGGAGTCCCCTATGGGGCCACGAAACGTGTGAGGGGTGTGCAGACATGGGTGCGGCGGGCGCATGCGAACGCAGCCACAGGGGCCTTCGGCTCCATATGGGGCCATGAAATGTGTGAGGGATGTGCCGAAATTGTTGGCTGCTTCGGAGGACTGAGGCAGGGATGGAAGGACGGAGGTGGGCAGCGGGAGGAGAACGCGGAGCGTTGTCTTACCACAACGAGGACGGACCCAACACGACAGGATGGTTGGAAACAAATATTATGATCGCCGACCTGGGCAGAGTCGCAGCCAGGAGTTGGCCTAAAGAGTATGGCTGGCGATGTTAGGGTTTCTGCGGCCCTGAGGGTGTGTTCGGGAGCTCGTCGACCCCACACACACACACACACACACACACACACACACACACACACATACACACACACACACACACCTACCGCCCCCCGCAACAGGATTGGGAACCCCTGGGGAGGGGAACAAGAGAGAGGGGGGGCTGCCAAACACATCGCACAGCATGGTACCTCCAGGAGGCTTGTTTTATACTCTGCACCTTGACGTATTACCATGGCACAGGCTGAGGGGAAGGATGAGGTCACGGAGTGTTACCTGGCATGGAGAAGAAACACAAATGATCGGCATCTAGCGAAGAGCATGCCGAAAACACACCAGTATGAAGGGTGATGCATGTGAAAAAAGACAGGTATTCATGGAGGTGGCCCTGAAATGCGAATTTGTACAGCCAGAGTGCCTCCACGAGCTGCGTCCTCGCGAGCGTTATGTTTACTCGGGCAGCTGGACCAGTGTCCGACCTGATTCGCTCACGCATTTGAGAAACGTTATTGCTCGTGGCAGTGTCATTACATTGGCGCATGTGGTGCAATGCGCGTTGCTTATAGATTGCGAAGGCCTTACGGCCGGTGCCGCCGACCCTGAAAGGAGACGCCGACAGCGACAACGGCGGCGGCGGCAACGACGACGACGCTGACGTGGGCTAGAGTCCTCAGAGATAGTTCTCGGGGTCTCTTCGGAAGTCTCTCGGGGGCCTCTGGGGAGGAATTTTTGGGCCTCTTGGGAGCCTCTTGGGGGCCTCTTCGGGCTTCCTGGGGACCTCTCTCTTGTGGGCCTCTTGGGGCCTCTTGGGAACCTCTTGGGGCCTTTTGGGAGCCTCTCGGGGCCGAGGGCTCGAAATGTCCGTTCGGGTCCCCGTCTGGGCACGTTCTTTGAGCCGTCTTGGGGGCCTTTGGGGCCATCTTGACAGCGTTCTGGGCTGTCTTGGGGTCCTCTTGCGCTGTTTTGGGGCCCTCTTGGAGGCCTCTCTTGGGCCGTCGTGGGGCGGTCTTGGGGGCCTCTTGCGCCGTTTCGGAGCGGCGGGAAGTGGAAAAGGCGAGAACGCCCAAATGTTCAAAAACAAAAACCAACGGAATCAATGACATTGGCCTTTTGGGGCCCTCTCGGGAATGCTCTTGGAGGCGTCTTGAGGGGTCCTGGATGCTTTGTGGGCAGTCTGGAAGGGCGTGAAGGCGTTTTGGACCGATCGTTTGGCGATTGGGGGCCCTCGTGGACCGTCTCGGCGGCCTCCCCCCCAGGGGCGGATGCGTATCTGACCCCACCACCCACCTGGGACCCCTCCCGGGACCTCCCCCCCGACGGGGAAGCGGGAGGGATTAACGGGAAGGGGCTTCCCATCGATTCGATTACGACATTGCTAGATTTTTCTCTCGCTGACAAGTCTGAGGAGGAGGGTGCAGGGAAAGGGGACGACGGAGACGACGAATAACGGAGACGACGACTCGAACAGACAAGCCCCTCACACACGCCGACAGGGTCGGCGGATAATATTGCGTCCACAATGTATCAGTACAACGCTTGCTTGGTTATACATGCTGTCGCTCGTGGTGCCGCACGCCGCCACGTTCGCAATTCTGTTCCACGTTCGTGCATGCACTCGTGTATGTGATACATATGCATCTCGCGCGTATCAGACATGTGATTGGGGCTTCCCTTCCCGGTCTAATAGCATCTGACTTCGGCTTCAAAAGAAGACCACCAGCCCATGCCAATGCTTACGTAATGGGCATCTTGTCCAGAAAGGTATCTTATTCGGCTCAAATTGTGCACACAGTGAGTGCATGTGCATGCACATGTGCACGTACGCTCACGTATTTTGCACATGCTCATTCGAAGGTGGAGAGGCGCAAGTGTATTGGCACGATGATGTTTGCTTGTGAACGTGATCTTATGTCTCTCTCTCTTTCTCTGCAGTTACAATGTCAAGAAATATACATGTACATGTACATGTACCCCCGAGGTCAGGCCAACACTACCCAAAAAGGTCCACAGAGGTTGCTAAGACAGCCCCAAGACGGCAGAAAAACAGTTCAAAGGCTCTCCCAGATGATTTGGTTTCCCCAACAGCTGGCCAACACGCCGTCCATCAGAGTAGAATTGCACTGACACCCGATATTCCGCCACGCAGGCCCTTCCAGAAGGCAGGAGGCGGCGGTGGTTCGCCGGAGGCGTCTTCGATCTGCCGCTTACGTAGTTTGCCGAAGGGGTGTTTGGCAGAGCTATACTCGTAGAGTAGTTTGTGGCCCTTCCAAACGGTCCCGCGGTCTTCGGCCTGGTCCGCCTGTCACCCAGAAGGCCGCACAACGACCCGCAAAACCAGAAACGTCTTTTGTCTCCGGGATGGCCGAGATGGCTGATCATCGCTTCCAAAACGACACAAAACGGTTCCTGACGGCTTCGAAGACGGTTCCAGACAGGAGGGCCCGAAGACAGCCCGTTATGGTTTCGAGACGCCCATGCCATGGCGTATGCCACAAGTTTGTGGTGTCCAAGCGTTGTTTATGCCTACGGGGTGCAGGCACGTATGCAGTACTCAATGCCTCCCCGATGTCCTCCATGGATTGCATAGCGGCAGGGAGTAGTCCTTCGGGTTTGCCATTAGGATGTTGTCACATTATGCGTTCATGAGGTTTGTATGGGGAAGTGGTTCTCTCTGAACGTTCATGAGGTGAGCACGATGTCTATTCGTCGAGGTGCCTGGTAGTTCCACTGCAATCAATCAAAGAACATAGCGGCCCGTCGGAGGAGAGCAGCTTGCCCGCTTTGATTGGAGCGCAGTATCATTCCTCCCTCCCGCCACGTGCTACCTCTCCCCACTCGCACTCCTGCTCATGCTCACCCTCCCGTCTCCCCCTCCTAGACAGCAGAGGCTGTCGGTGCAGGCAGTTCCCTGTTGGACCCACCACGTTCAGATCCTCGTCCTTCCAATCTTGAAGAGTTGGAAGGCGTAGGCGCGCCCTCCCACGCCAGCGAGCCCTGCGCCCATGTGGGCGGACGAGGAGGGCAGAGAAAGAAGAGGAGGAGGAGGAGGAGGATCAGAACAAAAGGATAGTGAAGACGGAGGCGGGAGGAGGATAATGTAGATGACGAGGAGGGAAGATGTGGAGTGGAAGGAGAGATGATGAGGAGCGCGCAGAACGGAGGATGCGCAGGTGATGAAGAGCAGGAGGAGGAGAAGGATAAATAGGAGCAATTGCCATGGAGAAGAGTGACGAGGCAGAGTACTTGACGGATGTTCACCATGTATCGATTAGGACGTCGTTGCTACTTTGATGGCGAATGGCTTACACATGCGGCGGGATCAGCAGCGGCGCAGTGCAAGAGATCGTGTCCTCCCGTCGCGCAGCCGTGATGCTATCCGGTCGCGAGGCCTCCGAATCGGTTCGTTGTGCAGGAAGTGTGCAGCCAGCTTGGACTATGGGCATCAATGAATGGTTCCTGTCGATCTGGCCAGTATGAGGAACAGCACAGGCGGAGCAGCCACAGTAGCAACAGCCTCGGCATCGCTCGGACGTGTGCATTTTTCCTTCGTCGAGGACCATCGAGGAGCATTCTTGATCAATTGGCGAAAAAAACCACGCACGAAACCGAAAAAAACACAGGGAATGGACGTCGGAGCGATGGCCAGCAGCAGCAGGAGGAGGAGCAGCAAGGTCCACCCCAAAAAGTTCGGCGCGTCACGCCTTGGTCCATCGACCGTTTGGCTCTCGCCTCGGCGCGAAGGATTACTCGCCGAGTGTAGGGCTCCTGGGGTTCCGTTTCGTTGGTGGGGCTTCGTGCGAGTTAATGAGCCTTCCTCTTTGCTCGTCTCTGCCGCCGTCAGGTGCTTTCTTTCTGCAGTTGTATGCTACCCTCTGGTAGCTGTCAATTGGGGGTTGGCAAATGCCACGCCTGCTACATCGTGGTGGTCACGGGGGCTTTCAAAAGAGATGAGTCGGAGGTGAAATTCAAGGCCTCGCTCGATACATCCAAAAAAATCGCGCGCGGACTGACAAGTGTCGTACCCCCTCGCGGTTCACCATTGGGGTGCCCAGGTGATGTTGCATGCTGCATCGCGGTGGTCACGGGGCTCTGCAAGGCGAGGAGGCGCAGATGCAAAACAAGCGCCTCGCATTAGACATCCCCAAAAGCTGATACCCCCATGGCGTCTGCCCCCTTGGGTTCCACAACGCAATGGCCGCTACATCGCGGCGATCATGGGGCTACGACAGGAGATGAGTCGGAGCAAAATAAGCATCTCGCTCGAGACGTCCCAGCAATCCAGGCGTAAGCGGGTGAGAGTTTTCCCCCTGGGGGTTGCATTAAGGCGCCCACAAATTATGATTCCTACATCCCAGTGATCATGGGGCTGACAGGACATGAGACGCAGGTGCAAAACAAGCGCCTCGCACGAGAGATCCCCATAATCCGGGCACGAGTGCGCAGGTGTCATAGCCGCTGGCGGCTCCTCCTGGGGCCGCCCAATTGCAATTATTGCATCATCGCAGTGACCATGGGGCTCTGAGAAGAGAGGGGTCGGAGGTCCAAAACCAACGCCTCGCTCGAGACATCCCCGCAATCGTATCGCGAATGGGCAAGTGTCATACCTTCAACGGCTCTCCTTCCTGGGGGTCCAAAGTGCCACACCAATGCCTTTGGTGAGAATGGGCGAGTCTTGAATATGAAAAGCGAGTGCGAGCGGGTCTGCGTGTGAGCTACAAGTTGCGTAAGGTTTTTGTTGAAAGCTGAGTATATGACTGATTATGAGCGTGAGTGGTTTGAGTGCGCGAATCCGAGTGCAAGTGGCTCTGAGTGTGCGTGGATCTGGGCACGCATGAGTGAGTATGAGTATGAGTGAGCATGAGAGTGAGTGGTGAGCAGGAGTGACTCTGATTATGAGCGAGACTGAGCGTTCGTGATGAATGTGGAGGGGAAGAGGCGGGAGCGTGAGGAGGCCGAGGCGCCACACGAACAACAAGAACCCCATCTTAGGAGATGGGCTGCAAATAACCAGAACCCTTACTTACGCTTGGGAACTTTGGGATAGTGTGTCCCTCCGCCGATTCTGGCCCACCACTCTTCGACGCGACACGCCATCCATTTCCCGGTCACCCAGCGTCGGCGTCCCGAGCCTTCTCCCGGGGTCCCGCCCTGCGGAGCGATGCGACGCGCCATCCGCTTGCAAGGCGTGCCAGCGGGCCCGCCGCGGCGACACGCCAAGCAACAGTTCACGATCGCAAGGTGGACAAGCATCACATCGTCGGGGACCTGGGACTCCGGTGCCCTTCTCTGCCGCCTCCTCGCGGCGCCCTCGGCCCCCCGGGAGCGCGAGAGGTCTTCCCCGGGTGGCGGTGTGCGGCCTGGGGCGCGGCGTGAGGCCAATCGTGGAGCAGAAGGTGCACACCTGCCTCGGTCTCCCCTCCTCCCTTTCCCCCTCCCCTCCTCCTCTCTCCCCCTCCCCTCCTTGCTCCCCCCTGTCCTTCCTCCCTTCTCATGCTGCCTGCTCCCTCTTGTTCCTTCTCTCCCCCTTCTCAGCCCTCCTCCTCCTCCTCCTCCTTCGCCCGCCGTTCCAGGGGATGGCGCCCCCACCGGAGCGGAGAGAGATAGAGAGCGAGAGAGATAGAGAGCGAGAGAGAGCGAGAGATAGAGAGAGAAAGAGAGAGAGAGAGAGCGAGTGGTTTTCGGCCCATCCCGCCACCGTGCCTGGGTTGTCGGTATGAGGCCTCTTGGATGTGCGTTTGGATCTGGTAGGAGGATTTTTCGGGAGCTTGTTGGAGGCAGTTTTGAGGCCTCTTGGAGGCCGTTTTGGGGCGCCTTCAGGGGGCCTCCGGGGGCCTCCGGGGGGCCTCTTGGGCTTTCTTAGGAGCCTCTTAGGGCCTCCTGGGGGCCTCTCGGGGCGGAAGGCTCGAATTGTCGGTTCGTGTTGCCCCTCTTGGGCCCGTCCCGGGGCCTTCTTGGGCGATCTTGGGGGTTTCTTGAGCCGTTTTGGAGCCCTCTTGGACCGTCTTGGGGCCCTCTTGGGGGCCTCTTGGGCCGTCTTGGGGCGGTTTGGGGTGCCTCTGGGTCCATTTTGGAGCGTCGGAAGCCCGAGAACGCGAGAACGCGAAAAGCATAGAAAAGCACAAGGAACATAAATGATCTGTGCCTCTTTGGCCCTTTTGGGGGTCCTCTTGGAGCGCTCTTGGGGCTTCTTTGGGGCCTCTTGGACCGTCTCGGTGCCATCTTGGGCGCCTTGGTGCGCTCTTGGGCTGTCTTGGAGGCCTCTTGGACCATCTTAGACGTTTCCTGGGGCGCTCTTGGCCCGTCTTGGGGCCCTCTGTCTTCTGGAAGAACCACGCGGGGAAACACCCGGGAAGTTTGAGAATGTGGGGCCCCAGCTTTCAGAATACTATAGTTTTAGAGTTCAGAGTGCAGAGAACAGAGGACACATGAGCACCTGAGGACACTCCACGTCGTGCCTCGAGCACAGTGACATATACACATATATATATACACATACCTATATATATATATACATGTATAACAGATGTGTGTATATATACACACATATATGCATACACCTCTCTCTATATATATACATATACATATATACATATATATATATATATATATATATATATATATGGTCGCCCCCCCTATGTCATACATATTCGTCTCTCGCGCGGCCGCCGATCGATATCTTCGCTCTCCGTTTCCTTCTCCTGTCCCGCCCTGTTTCTCCTCCTCTTCCTTCTCCTCCTCCTCCTGCTCCTCCTCATCGGAGTCTTCGAAATCGCCAAAACCAAAGAAAACCTGCAAACAAACAAAAAACAAACAAACAAGCAAACAAAAAAACGATGATGTCGGGAGAACTTCTGGGGAGGGGGCCGGCCAAGGTTCTCCCGAAATCTTAAGTTGTTTTTTGTTTTTTTTTGGTTTTCTGAAGGGTTTTCATTGGCGTTCGGCCTCCACAGAAGGATTCCTGTTGAAATCCTCTGCGAAAGGAGATTCCCATTGAGATCCTCTACAGCTCCTCACCCTCCTCCTGCTCCTCCTCATCCTGCTCGCTTCGAGGCGGTATTCACAAATCTAGTTGTGAACGCAGCTGCACAACTAGTTTTGCGAGCAACCTCCCGCTACGAGACATTACTCGCAAAACTAATTGTGAACGCCGCTCCACAACTAGTTTTGTGAGTAATGAGCTCCTTCTCGTCATCGTCATGTTCCTCACTCTCCTCTTCTCCCTCCTCCTGCTCCTCCTGCTCCTCTCCCCTCCTGCTCCTCCTGCTCCTCTTCATTCTGCCCCCTCCTCTCAGATTCGAGGCGATACTCACAAATCTAGTTGTGAACGCAGCTGCACAACTAGTTTTGCGAGGAACCTCCAGGTACAGAACACTACTCGCAAAACTTGTTGTGAACGCCGCTCCACAACTAGGTTGATGAGTAATGAGTTCCTCCACGCTTTCGTCATGCTCCTCACTCTTCTCTTCTTCCTCCTCCTGCTCCTCCTGCTCCTCTCCCCTCCTGCTCCTCCTTCTCTTCTTCATGCTGCCCCCTCCTCTCCGCTTCGAGGCGATACTCACAAATCTACTTGCGAACTCAGCTACAACACTAGTTTTGCGAGCAACCTCCCGCTACGAGACACTACTCGCAAAACTATTTGTGAACGCCGCTCCACAACTAGTTTTGTGAGTAATGAGTTCCCCCTCGTCATCGTCATGCTCCTCACCCTCCTCTTCTTCCTCCTTCTGCTCCTCCTGCTCCTCCTGCTCTTCTTCATTCTGCCCCCTCCTCTCCGCTTCGAGGCGTTACAAATCTAAGTGTGAAAGCAGCTGCACAACTAGTTTTGTGAGCAATGGGTTTCTCCCCACCTTCGTCGTGATCCTCGCCCTCATCTTCCTCTTCGTCCTGCTCCTTCTGCTCCTCATGCTCCTCCTGCTACTTTGAAATTCTGCCCCCTCCTCTCCGCTTCGAGGCGTTAGTCGCAAATATAGTTGTGGAAATCACTCCACAACTAGTTTTGCGAGCAACCTCCCGCTTCGAGATATTACTCACAAAATTAGGTGTGAACGCCGCTCCACAACTAGATCTGTGCGGGCGCCCGGGCTGTCTGGGCGGCCTCGCGGGCTGTCTGGCGGCCTCGTTCCTTCCGCGGGCTGTCCGGCGGCCTCGTTCCTTCCGTCGCCGCCTCGTCGCCGCCCGTCGCCGCCGTTGGATTGGACCACGTAAGTTGCACGGACAAATCGCACCTGCGGCGCGCGTTTTGATCGCTCACGACATAGGTTCCACCACAGAGATTGCACACCATAGATCGCACAGATTGCAAAGCATAAATTGCACCACGCAGATTGCACAATATCTATTGCAGAAAGTATGACACCTTTTTCTAAAATGGCACCCGGAACAGAACTGACTGGCCGCTCTGCGCGTTAGCCTGCGCGCGCCGTCACCGCCGCCGCCGCGACGCGACAGCCAGAGCCAAGCAGCCGCTGCGATCGCAGCCGCATGGGTTGCGCAACCCAAAGTCCGGGCCGGCGGCTTGGATGGTTGCGCGGGCAGTGGAGTTTGCAGTTTCTCAAGTTCGGCAGGGCAAAGTGCACCACATAGATTGCACCGCGTGATTGTAGAGCATAGAGGGCAAGAGTTCGCTTCGCGTTGACCGGGAAATTGTACAACATCTTTCCGCACATTGGATTGCACAACATGCATTGCGACACGTTGTTTGCTGCAGATAGATGTACAACATCGCATAGAGTGCACAACATATCTGGTACACCAAAGTTTGCACAACATCTTGTGCACCACATAGAGCGCACTACATCGATTGCACACCATCGAGTGTATTTCAATTGTTTTTTGTTTGTTCATTTTCATGCAAAAGAAGGAATTACGATCTACTACCCCCCCGAGGACGTGATTATTAGCTCCCCCCGAGGGGGCAATTTACGTACGATTGTGTTCCATCGACCATTCTGCATGTAATTCGTACCATCCCAGCCAGGCCGGCGTCGACT